GGGTGGGGGTGGGGCGGGAGGACAGAGATCATTTCCTGGGCGAAGTAGAGCCTGTGGGTCCCCCCCACCCGCTAATGCCATTCCTGCGGACCTGCCAACTCACCATTTTGAGAGATAGAATTCATAGAACTTGACAGGGCAGCGGAGGGGATTCATGCGGTTCTCACGCTGCTCTAAGATGGGGACTTCGTCTTCTCTCTTCCGTTTCCCAGGACCAGTGTCTGTGGAGGAGACGAATGAACCAGACTCCTTAAAAGTGCAGTGTCAACGAGGCACCTCCAAGAGCACAGTCTAGGGCACGGGGGGGAAGGCCTCAGGACACAAAACAGTCTCATGGAGAAATAAAGGCAGAAGAAGAGTCTGTCAGTCTCTCTGTACCAACCCAATGCTCTGCAGGGTGTTGCTCTGCAGTGTACCCTGGTTTTCATTGCTAAAGTCTCCATCATCTTCCCCAAGTTGATTTCCTGAAGAGGTGATCTCAGAAGTTACACGGAAAAACTGACAAAACAGACCCTACTGCAAGATTGGGGTTGCCTTCTGGGATAAACAGCGATGGCCCCAGCCCCTGGCACATTAGTCCTGGTAGAGGCTCAGGTTCAGAAGGGACCTTGGGAACTGATTCCAGGGCCAGAATGGAAACCAAGGTGCTGTGGCAGTTATGCCCACTAGCAAAGAGCGATGGAAGGGCTGTCATTCACTCTTGTCAACTCTTCCCCTCAGCCAAACACACCCAACAGTTTCCCACCTGTCCAACTCCCACCCCCGCAGCCCCAAAAGTAAACTGCCCTGAAATGAGGAAAAGTGGGAAACAGGCAGCTTGGTGACCTCCTATTTATGCAATAGCCACTGACCATCGGATTGAAGGACTGGCTGTTTTCATCTTTTCTGCAAACCCAGGAACGGAAGGATAGAGAAGCTGGGGGCAATGGAGAGGGCCAACCTGGTGGCACGGTGGGGCACGGAAGGGGAAAGTACAGAGGGGGGAAAAGCAAAGGAGGGGGCAGCTTCGTACCTCGCCCTTTCCTCTGGCGGACAGGGGCGTAGTAGCGGATGCTCACCACCTTGGTGGTGCCCCGAGGGGTGGTACACTTGCGGGATTGCCGCACCACGTTGGTGAAGGAGAGCTGCATGTGTTCCTCAGCCGTCTGCAGCCCAAAAAACTTAGTGTTGAAGAACATGAGGGTGTTGAGAAGGACAAAGGGTGAGTAGACCCCCAGCTGCTTACACTCCCAGAGGTGCTCTTCCTCCACTCGGGAGAACACCGTATCTGCAACGGGCAAGGGGGAGAGGCTGGTCAGGAGGGATTGACTACACAAACCCAACCACTTCTGCTCCCACATGTCCGGCTCACAAGCACTGGGCACGCCAGACTCATTCGGTGAGGGACCATTGCACATAAAACCCTGACGCCTCGCTATACTGCACAGGAGGGCTGGATTTGGGGGCTTGTTTTGGTTTGGTATTGGGTGGGGGTTTCTTGGGGGGGATATTTTTTTTAACAGTTTCCACCTGCATTCAGAGCTTTGCTCACCAGCCTCAAGTTACAGGCAGGTCGACATAAACCTTGAGGAGCCCCACAACTTCTTCCTTTTTTTCCTTCACTTACCACTCAAACTCTGGTCACCATTTTGGGTCCCAGAGATAGCTCTTCAGAACTAAGTCTTGATCCCCTCCTTATGTTCAAGGACAGGGGCTCTGGCTCCTCTAGCTCTTAACCCTGAGGGACCCCACTACACACGTCTATGCTCAGACCCTTCTGTGAAGAGTGGCAGACCCAAGAGCCCTGGACTCAGAATGGTGCACTGGAAGAAAGGAGGAAAGGGCGGAGGGGTTGCTAAGTCCCTGTCCCTTACTGTTGGGGAGGAGTGTGGGCTGCCAGGTACTCAGAGACTTGTTGAGTTCTTGAACAAAAGTCAGGTAGTAAAGGTCCGTGAAAATGTTCACCATTCGGTTATTTTCCAACAAGTACTGGAAAAAGAAAAACAGACACACATAGAGCTAGACTCTAGGCCCTAGAGGAAAGACGATGAGGCCGAAGGCCCCACGCATGGCGACCTTGACAGTTAGGAGCCCATGGGAAACAGTTGCTGGATTTAGTGATCCAGAGTGGTTTTCCCCAGGTATACCTACAGCTCTGAGGAGCTGAGGCCTTGCTGGAAGAGGAGGAAGTCTGGAAGAGATGTGCCACAGCCGCTTCTTCACAAGCCCAGACCCCCTTGTCAGCTGAGGCATGGTTGATGTCTCCCAGCTCTGAACCAAACATTACCCCACCACTCAGGGAACCCAGCTCTGCCCATCCCTCCCCTCCTAAAGTGGGTTTCAGGATGACAAAGGGACCCGCAGAGCAATGAAGACTGCTCCTTGGTCAAAAGTCCTGGAACACAGCTTTGATTTTAGAAGAGTATTCTCATTTCTTGTCGTGTCTAGAGTAGGAGGTGAAAGGCAAGCTGCCTGTTCAAGGCAGGAAACAAGGTGAGGAACAGGGAGTGGGACAGGATCATTTCTGGTGGGACCCTGCCTGCTCTGTTAAGTGACGGCAAGTGAGGCAGGGCGCAAGGGGTACCTGTTGGATGCCAAGACACAGATAGTAGATACTGTCAGGTTCATATCGTTCACCGTTGGGTCGAGTGATTTCTCTCACAAACTGGGCCAGACCGTAGTTGAGCTCAGCAGCTGAGCAGGCCAGAATATCCTCTTTGATACGCATAGGTTTGGCTGCAGTGATACACAGTGGAGGTGGCTGGCATTAAGACAACTGCACATTAAGAATTTCCTTTAGCTCCACCATTAACCCCTTCACCCCTTAGTCATGTCCAGCTCCAGAACAAACCCACCAATTACACAAAGAGCCCTCAGCCTTGAAACCTAGATGGCATCTCCCCTTATTCTGAAACTTCTCCCCATCTTCACAGGATACCCTTAAGTGATCACAGCCTTATCACTTGTAGACATCTACAGCTGAATCACAGCCCTGCCCCTGCTCCCCCGCTGGGTACTTACGGCCAAAGCGCAGCTCATCACCCTTGCTGGTTTCTCCATTGGCGTATTTCGACTGCACCCAGCACTTCCAAGCATTGACACCATATGAATAGTTGAGTCCAGTACAGCTAGGCTGGCTGCTCATGGAGTCCCGAGAACAGCTCTCTGAAAGCACCAGCCGCTTTTGACCCTGCAGGGGAAGAGAAAGGAGGGAGTGGTGGAGGTAAGGCCAGGGCACCATGGAAGCTAGTCAGGACAGTGTTCACCACCAGGGGAGGTGGGGACTGATGAAAGAACACAGCAAGCTTCCACAGCGCAGGAACAGCTCTTATAACCTCTGATGAACTGGGGAGAGAGCAGAGTTTGGCTGTACCTTAGCACTCACAGTGGTGAAGAAAGGAGGCTAGGGAAGGCGAAACTAAGCCTGCTGACTTGGCTACGAAAGCCACCCCCCACCCCACCCTTTGAGCCTCCATCCCTCTTTTGTGGATACAGCAACCCCAGCCCTCACCTTCCTCATGGTTCGGGGAAGGTCTTGTTCAGTAGACACGTCCTCAGGCCCTACCAGGCCACAATCAAACAGGAAATCTACGCTGGGGTTAATATCCAAAGGATCTAGAGGGGAAAGGAAGAAGAAATCAATTTTCTAAGACCTCAACCCTGTAGTCCTCCCACCCCACCCCTGCTACTTGTTCACCTGACTCGAGATGAGCCTCCCAGACAGCTTCATCGTAGTCACCAGGACAAAGCTATATACTGAGAATGTGCTCAGAGGCACATACACAACAAAAACTCACAACAATGGGAACGTTTCTAGCACTACTGAACTGTAAACTTTTAAAGATGGTTAAGATGGTAAATTTTATGTTATGTGTTTTACCACAATTAAAAAAACAACAACAACAAGATTCAAGCATAGAATAGTCTGCCTGTCCCGGTATCTCTGGCACCATTCCCTGTGACAGTCTTCTGTTTAGGGTCATGCTCGGGGTAACAATGAACACTCCTTTCCTGATGGCGCAAATGCTACTGTACACAGCGGGCACGCCCTGAATCCTACTCACTCTTGGGGAAGTCCGCCTCCAAGTCTTGCCCAGGCTCATCCAACACATTGGCCATCTTGACAGCCATGGCCAGGACATCATCCCGAGCTGGCCCAAACAGGTCGCAGTCTTCCAGAAGACCCTCTGCGCTCTGGTTGCTCACGAGATCTGGGAGGCAGAGAGGTTGGCTTAGTCCCTGCAGCTCCTACTTGGCGCCCTCAACTGGCTTTCAGGGGCTGATCCCAACTATTCCCCCATCCCGCCAGGTACCGAGATCACCACTCTCCGCCCCCTTAGGCAGAGACAGACTGGCAGCACCCTGTCTCCCTCACCGCCGCTGTCCATGGCATACCACAAAGGTCAGATGAGGCCTTGTCTAACTCCTCGGCCTCTGCAATCATTTCTGCCATAGCCAGGATGTCGGCCTCCAAGGGGTTAGAAGGGATCTTCACCTTCAGCTCCTCGATGGTCTCCACAATCTTGTCTGTGCTCTCCAAGGTAGTGGGCAGGAACATGGGCACAGGCACCTGGAGGCACGAATCCCAACTAAACGCCAAGAACCACACCAGCAGATGAGAGGAACGGCTGGTGAGAGGGAGGGGGCAGGGTGGGTCTCAAGCCTGGGAGGGTAAAGGAGGCCCCCACCAGGAAGGGCAGGAAAACTTACTGGGATAGGCATTGAGAAAGGCACCGGGACTTTCTGGCAGTACAGATGCATAGGCACTGGCACAAAGATGGGCACTGGGATGGGCAGCACAATCACCTGTGGCTTCCACTCTTCTGCTGACAAAAAAGGGGTCTTCTCAGAGCGCCTGCCAGATGGGTCACGTCTGACCCAGGACCTGGTGCTTGTTACCCCCTCCAAAGCTCTAACACGTGCTCAGTGTCACAAAACTGCCCTTGAACCAAATGTTGAGAGACAACTCTGGGATTCTAGGACGACAATATGCAGGACGCTTCGGCCACCTAAGAAACCCCCTTGTCCAGCTCCCAGGCACAGGGCTGGAGGCCCAAGACCATGGAATATAGCCTGTGGCGTCTCGGCACCCTCACTCACCTGTCTGACTCCCTTTGGACTTCATTTCCACCTTGCAGGAGACCCCCCGATTCTGCATCAGTGGTTTACACATGGCAGCTTTGTTTTTGCGGGGTGTTGCTGGGGGCGGTGGGGGTGGAGGAGGGGTGGGAGCAGCGGGGGCTGTTCGGATCTTCACAGGGATCTGCAAAGACAAAGGAATTTTAGTGCTGCTGACTACGGTACCCTCCTCTGAGACCATCCTACCCCCTGGCTTTTGCCCTGACCTTGCCCAGATTCCCATTTTCCTCTGAGGTCTTTACAGTGTTGCTGTTCTCCACTTTGGTCTGAGAGGGTGTCTGGGGCTTCGCCTCAGAAGACTGACCTGTAGATCAAAGCAAACGAAAGCTCTCATCTGAGGCACTAGCTCTCCATTCCCCTCACCCCTGCTCCAGGAGAGCTTCATTAAGAGAACACCAAATACGAATGGGAAGTCTCAAATTTTCCCTCCACCCCTGCCCCCAGGTCTAGTCTTTTCTAGGTCCCAGCAATAGTGGCCAAAAAGATTCTTTGCTCCTGGATGCCAAGGATGAAAAATAGTGTCCCCCCAATGACCCATAATTTAAGGCCTTCCATTTAGATGGCCCTCAGGAGTTTAGTACCCCTGGAGTGCGGAGAGGCCAGGGTAACATTCTAGAAACAACAGCCTTCACTCTCACTAAAGGCAGAGCTTATGCCAACACTTCCTTCTCTCTTAAAACTAACCACAGCCCCCATATGCCCCACCTTACCTGCGCAGGTACCCATTCCCTACAATAAATCCCTTATAGAAAATCAACAGGATCTAACTCTCAGAACTTTTAAACGAGACTCCTCTAGTACCTCTACAGTCCGGAAGCTGAAAGAGAATGCAGTACCATGACCTCTGGCCAGGGATGAGGTGAAAGCGGGAGAGGAAGAAGAAAGGGGCCAGGCCCAGGATCAGAAGAGTCCAGGCCAGTTCTAACAGACTGTGCCCCCTGCCCAGGACTCACTGTTCAGGAGGCTCTCGGGTCCACTCTGGGTATCCAGGTTGGGTTGGTTCTGCTGGCTGTAGAAACGCAGCAGACATTGTTGGTTGCAGAAATGACGGATCTGCCCACGCCAGTGGATGGTCTCCAGCAGCTTCCCCTGGCGCTTACAGGCATGGCACCGGGCAGCCTGAGGGTGTCAACAGGATGGTCAGACCTGCCTCCCTAAAATGTGCTGGGCCCTTTGCCCTGGGATAAGCTGTGCTGCTCCCCTTGGAGGCTGGGTAAGCCGGAGCCCCCTCCCTGGAGATCAGCCCACACCCTGATGGCAGCACAAGAGCCCGTGCTCCCTGCCACCTTTTCCCTCCTTTGTAACGTGCTGCCCCCCTTACCTTGCAGTACCACAGCAGGTACTTGCTCTTACAGTCCTCGCTGCAGAAGTCCCAGGTGCTGCCGTCCAGTTGCTCGGTGACTCCGCGCTGGCAGGTCTGAGAGCAGTAAGTACAAGTGATACAACACAATCCCAGCTTCTTAGTGAAGTCCTGTTTGTACAGCAGCACACAGCCTGGAAAGGGGGTGAGAGGGAAGAGTCCAGAGACGCAGAAATCTCCATGGCCGTGAGACCCAACCTTTTCAAGGCGGTGCACCTGAAACCTCTAACAACCTCCCGTGCCCAAAGCCTGGGGACAGACAGGGTAGAGCGTCCTGAGCAGAAGGCCCTGGCCCCGCGGACCACATTGCAAGCCCTCCTTACTTAATCTGCCATTCTCCACAGCTGTGAGGTACAGAGCCCTCTGCCCCTTCCCCATCTCCTTACCTTCGCTGCAGAAGCTCTTCTCCACCCCACTGAATCGGAGCTTCTCATGCAGGAGTTTCTCCTGCCGGCAGTGCTCACACTGGGACACCACACCCCGAAGGCGCTTGAAGTCCTCACAGCAATCACGGCAGCAGAACTGGAACACCTGGTCCTGGGACAGGGGCACAGGGTGGGGAGGACAGGGCTGTGACATCTGGACCTGGTGAGAGCCAAGTGGAAGTACCCCTTCAGACAGATGTCTCTGTGTAGCGAGATGTGGGTGGGGGTGGGGATCTTACCTGCCAGTCCAAGACCTCAGGCTTGCCACTGAAGAGGCTGTGGCAGTAGTGACAGCTCAGGTGAATGCCCCCCTCGGGGCTTGTGCGCTGGAGGGAAGGAAGACAAGTAAGGGAGGGGCAAGATGTGTGTGGTGGGCGGGTAGGGGTAGGGGAAGTCAGGCTTGTTCTTTGCTCTGCCCAGGCCTACCTACCCCAAATCTCATACCCTCTCTACGTCGCCACACCCTTTATCCCTGGTCCAGGGTTTGGAGTACCTGGAACTTGGTCCAGCAGCTGGGGCTGCAGAACTGGTAGACTGTGCGATCAACCTTGTTGTAGTAACAGGGGTCAGAGAGGCTGCGGCGGCAGAAGCTGCAGGGTCGGGGAGGGCCTGGGGCATAGAGAGAAAAGGAGAGAGAGAAAGAGAGAGAGAGAAAGAGAGAGAGAGAGAAAGAGAGAGCACACAGAAGGTGTAAGGCAGTGCAGAGATGGAACAGGAAATCCACGGGAAGATGTGGTTGGGGCTGAAGTCGGGCAGCAGGGGTTACTTTAGAAGAAGGGAGTATGGGAGGTGGAAGGAAGGCCAGCAGGGGTCTCAGAGAAGAGGGCTTTGCACCTACCAGTGAGCCCTGCCTGCTTCACTTTGTAAGAGGTGGTACAGCACAGGGAACAGAACAAGCTGGTCTTGCCATTACGGTCCACATGGGATAGCATCTCAAAGTTCTTACACAGGGTCTTGCACCAGACACATGGGTACACCCGTGTGTTTTTCTGTGAGGATGGGGAAGGAGAGGCTGAGGCTGGATTTGTCCCTTCACTTTTATTTTTTTAAATTTTTAAAACATGAAATATTTCAGGCATACAAAAAAAGTATAGATGATGAGATAACAAAGACCTGTGTATCCACCAGCCAGCTTCAAAAATAAAACATAACAGATACAATTGAAACCCCCTTTATTTGTTTTATTTCTCCCAGCCCTCGACCCATCAGGCACCTTTATTTCTCACCCAAGGACCGCACCCCCTTCCACAGCCCTCTAATGCACTACTCCCTCGGCCCCACCTTCTTGTACGCCCCCAAGCAGGTTGTGTTGCAGAACCGCTTTTGTTGGCCCTCGTGGAAGAGGAGCTCGGGGCCAGGGCTCCCGGTCTTGGTGTAGATGTAAGCCCCACACTGGTCACAACAGTTGGTTTTCAGTCCCTTGTTGGCCCGGAATTTGGAGAAGCAAGAGTCGCTGCAGAGCCGGTGCACCACGCTGCCATTGCTGACCTCGTGCAGGACCTGCCACATACACACACACACACACCCTGAGCTAGGGCCTGGCCACCACCACCCACCCTAGTGCAAGGACGGCCCGCCCCGCCTCACCCTAGACCTTCACAGCAGACAGTGGGCCCAGGGACCCCCCAACCTGCACATCGGGCTGCCGACTTGATGGTGAGGTCCTGGGAGGCAAGGAAGGCCAGCTGCACACATCCTGGAGAAGCTCTATCCTTGAATACGCTCCCTCACGATGGCTGCTTCCCCTCCCCACTCCCCTCTTCCACAGGGCCTGGCCCCTGCAGCCCCAGGATTGCAGGGGCAGCTCAGGGCTGGCCAGGCTCTGTAAATTAGCCCCCATCGAGCTTCCTCACCTCTCCAGTCTTCTGGCATATACTGCAGCGAGTGGCATCGGCGGGATCCCCAGACTGGGGGATTGGGCGCTGCTGCTGGGCCTCATACAGAGAGAGACAGACAGATGTGCAGAACTCATGGAAGGAGCCTCCTGAACCAGTCTGCGCCACAACTGAGTCCTTGGTGTTCCAGATCTCCCTGGAGGTGGGGACAAGTTTGCACATTCACTCAGTACCACCCCCTCATTTCATCAGCCTCCACCCCCCTCCTCTGGGATCAATGACCACAGAACCAAAATACTCTCGGACCCCCTCCCTAAATCACCTCTCTCCCAGTTCCACTTTGCTAGGTTCTTGCTAACATAGTCTCTGTCTCACCCTTTACTCCCAGCCCGATCCCTGCCCTCCCCACAGCCCGGGACCCTCACGTACTTCTTGCAGAAGGTACAGGTCTTTTTGCCGGAGGGCTTCTTGGAGAAGGTGGTGAGACAGGATGAAGAGCAGAAGAGCTGTGGCAGCCCCTTGCGCTGGTAGGCCGTCTGGCCCTTCTGCAGTGGTGTCCGGCAGTGGGCACAAGTCATCTTGGTGCCTACCGCTGAGCGCCCAGTCCTCTGTGCCACGCTCGAGCGTAGGGACATGCGAGGAGAGCGCCGGGGCCGGAATGGCACAAAGTCCTCATCGTTGGGGTCATCTACCATGGCATCAGAATCCTCATCTGACACTGGAACTGAGGAAGAGTGGGGAGGGGCGGGGAGAAAAGGCTGAGGGACCAGGCCTCCAGCCATCACCTGACCAACAGGTAGCTCAGCTGATCCTGGGATCCCCAATCCCTGTAGTTCTTGGCTTTATACCCAGCCCCTATTACATTGGAATCTCAAGCCACCCGGTGTCACTCTCCCTTAGTTACTCTGTAACCTCCCAGGGAGGGGAAGGAAGGGATCCAAGTGAGAAGATTCAGGGACAGGGATGGCAGAGCTGAAACAGGAAACTCCATTCTCACTGCTCTTGTTTTCAATTTCCCCCACTGCCCCTGGTTCCCATGCCAACCCAGAGCAGAGACAGGCGCTTTGCACTCTGCAGAGTGCGGCACTACAGGAGCCCTGAGATCCGTGGCCGCCACATCCCACTGGGTCACACTTCCTCAAGGCCTACTCACTGCTCTCAGTGGAATCCACAACCTCAGGTTTTGGAGGCTCTACTCTTCTAACGCGCTCGCTTCTCTTCTGCACCTTGGAAACATGGGGAGGGGAGGAAAGCTGACACCAGGGGCAGGCTAAAGGGCCAGCTGCACTAGTACAGGGTTTGGGGGGGGGTACAGAAATAGGAGGAGGAAGGGAGAGTAGGGACCCTTGGCCCTGCCCTTAGGAGGAGGGGAGAAAAGGAGGCTGGACCTTCTCCTTAAGAAGCAATAGACACAAGCACTCCCTCCCTCCTCCTAACTCTCCTCACACACACCCTCCACAGAGCAACATCTGGGAGGGAAAATGAAGGGTCTGTCCTTCCCAGAGCTACAGGGGGAACCAGACTCCTTCCAATCCCCTCCCCCCCTCACCCTCTCAGGCGGCTTCTCACTTGCCTTCCCAGTCAGGCCATCTCCTGCAAAGGAAGCAGAAAGCAACCTAAATCTTGAGCCTGCCTTCACCACCCCCTCCCTGGCCCAACCCCCGCCTCCATTCCTGGGGAAGAACTTACTCAAAACTGAAAGGGAAAACTCGAGTGCCTGTGGCTTCTTGGGGCCCCTCTCAGGGTTACCTTGAGCTCTGCACTAAGCGGGGGG